GGGGGAGCATCCCAACCCTCAACCCTAAACACATCTGATCCTCGTCAGCTTTCCCACTGCGTCGAACAGGCAGATGCATTCGCCTCACTGCTCCGTACTTGAAGGTTCATGGGCAGTTCTAAGTAGGGTTATAAGTACCTACAATAAGCTTATAACCAGTTCTATTTACATTACCCTGCTTGTAACCCCACACACTATGTGCAAGAGTGTGATCTCGGACCCAAGTTCGTATGGGCTTCCAGCTCATGCATCTGGCAAGTTTACACAAGAACCTGTGCTAAGCATGCACCTCCAAACCTCATAGCCCGTCGCATTCTCAATAGTAGTTTCATTGTAGCTCGAAAGAGAACAAATGGAAGGCTTGACAAGCACTCCGCAAACGTCTGATTGTTTTCTGTGAGCGCAAGGGACAACGACAGCATCGCATGTCTATCCAGAACTATCAGGCCACAATGAATTACACCACCTTCTGCTCTAGCCTGACTCATAGCTTACAACTTGCTTGAGGCATGTATAAAGAAGTGCAAAGGCTGAACACCGCAGGAGCTTAGTCGTAGAGACTGATGGCCATACTGCACCAAGGAACGCCCAGCTGTCAATCTCGCAGGGTTGAGGCTCCTTCGTCAGGTTTGTGCAGCTTGGGTCAGGGCTGCGGGCTCTGCAACGTCTGCAACATGAAGCAGCAACCGAAAGAGATCGGGCTCGCATTCTTCGCAGTATTCGCATTCGGCGTTTTGAATCCAACCTGAACGATGTGCTGTGTCTTGTGCCGGAGGTTCGCCGCTGTTCTTGTTTTCAGTACTGTTCTTGTTCGAGAGCTCTTGGACGTAGAAGAGAAGGCAACCAGAACCCCGCTCCGAACAGCGCAGCCCTCTTTCTGTCAGCGACCCGGCGCCTCTTCTATGTTCCACTCCGGGCCTGCGCCACTGGACTCACTGGACACTTCTTGGAGCCCACCAGAACAGCGGGGGAGGGGGGGGGGAGGGGGGAGAGGGGGGAAAAAGCCCTTCAACCCGGCCTCGCAGCGCCCCGTCTTCTGCAAGTTCCCCTGCATCATGGCTCACGTAGCACCTTCGCGACGCGCGGAGGAGCTTACGGGCACTGCAGGGGGGCACTTCTAACCCATTAGAACCTTTTTTTAAAGAACCCCAAATCCTAGAGAGTAAGGCCATGCCATGCCCCCACACCCCTCCCCCTTTTGAGGGAAGGCGCATCCGAAGCCGGCTGACCAAGGCGTCGGAGATGGCATTGGAGGCGAAAGAGAAGGCCTGCAAAGAGGGCTCATGTTCCATGAGGTCTTGAAAGCACGGCAGCCCTAAAACCCAAAAAAAGAACCATGCAAGTCAACAACACGAAGCTCCCCAAACCAAAAGCTCCATTCTAGCAGACGCTGAAAGAACGCCCCAAAACAAGCAGCGGGAAATCAACAGCAAATCCTACGAAATGGCCGGAGACCAGAAGGTTCATGGGTAGTTATAATTAGGGTTACAAGTACCCTAAATCAGGTTATAACCAATTATAAGTACAGTTACCCTACTTTATCACCCCACTTATAACTACCCATGAACCTCCAAGTAGAGCGGGCACCGGACCCTCTCCCAAGAACGTCACGAGCGTCCCAAGTTTTGGATTCTTAACACACATGATTCTTAAGATTTACAGCATTGTTAACGGGGGCACCTTCCTCTCGAGATACTTCTGCCACAGCAGCGTGCCACCATCGGTGAGGATCCTTAAGGGGGTCGGCTCGTTTTGGCCGGGGATGCTTCAAGAATCCACGACTTCCCCCATGCACAGTCCCAACCCTCACAGCCTTAAGCAAAATGAAATGTTGAGGCTGGCGCTGGTCAATCGTAGCAGCGACAGCCTGGTCCAGGGAGTTGCTCCCTTCAGGATACATGGGGCCGCTCATAGGGGGACTTCAAAAGCAAAATGGGCAGTCTCAGATCGAGCACACAATGATTTGGGGTTTGCGAGAACAGGGGACCCCCAATGTCCCTTGATAACAAGAACCCCAAACAAGGTCCCCTAACTTAGGAAACCCCCCAAATTTGGTGTCTACGAACCAACAGAACAAGACCCGGCCTCTTCTGCTCCACAGATGCCACGGCCAAACTCAGCCCATGGTCCTGGGATGCCAGGTGCGCTGTACTTTCGGCACCGATTTAGGGGTTTTTAGGGGTTTAGGGTTTAGGGTTTGGGGTTTGGAGTTTGGGGTTTAGGGTTTAGGGTTTCGAAACCACCTTGCAGGCACCGAACTGAGGCCCACATAAGAGCTCAAGATTCCAGATCCTTCTGCTTCTTCGAGCCCTCCCTTTTCCCCCCCCCAAAACCGTGCCAAGGGCGCCCCATGGGGATCTTTCTGGCAGCTCCATGGCGGAACAGAGGCGCTGGGAGGCGCTGGGGGAGTTTCAGAGTTTCGGGAACGCGGCTTTGGGAGGTGGGGTTTCGGGTGACGTATGGGGCTGGGTGTGGGCTGAGTCTGAAGCGACTTGTGGACTTTCTGTGTTCCCTGGTCACTGGAAGGGCTTCGAGCGGAAAGGCGGCGGCAGGCGGCTCTCCGCGCAAAAGGCCGCCGCACTTCAAAGCTATGCGCTGCTGCAAGGCTCCCATGTCAGCAAGAAGCATCAGGGTGCGCACCTTCCGGCAGTTCACCTGATTTCGCCGCATCATTGCCTCATGTGCCAGATTGCCCCGGATTGACACGAGGAACGGCACCTTTTCACTTCCCAACAAGAAGGCCCTGCTGCACAACCCAGCCGGTCAGTATCAAGGTATCAAAGAGGGATAGGCAGTGAAGAAGACATTGCCCTGATGCATAAGCCCGACATTTCCTGCTACCAAAGCAGCACTGACTTCACGGCGCTTCTCCATCACCTGCCACGAGGCTCTTTCGGACTCCATCTGTTTAGGGGTTCAGGGGTGTAGGGGTTCAGGGTTTCGGTTTTCGAGTTTCTACAAGCCAGCAACTCTATGTTGCCCTCGAGCGCCCTGCCTCCAACTCCTCGAGCTCTTTTGAGCTGAGGCAGCGCTTCACTACACTCTTCCGCGATAGCCTCAGGACAGGATGGGAAGGCAAACATCAATGGTGTGATGCTCACTTGCTTGTCACCCAGATGGTTTCCTCCAATATTGCACGGTGTCTGGTGGGCTGGACATCCATGGAATTCACCCACCTGACCAAGAACCGTGCTGCGTCAAGCGGGAAACATTGCTTGCTTCCGAGTACCTGCAACTGACAGCGTCTAGGGAGTCCAACGACAGTAGTCTTTTGGAATCTTGGGTCATTGAGAAGGATCCCCTCAAATGAGGGATATACATGAAAAACGTGCTTGAATCACATGTATGTATGCAAAGATACTCATATATGTGCATAAACACATGTACAGTCAAAGCTAAGACATCCTGAACCCAGGCAACACAACCCTCATCCGTAAACCCTGACAAAGCTTCACCGAAAAAAACAGTACCCTCCAATGGGAGGGTGGAGGGGGTGAGAGGGGCACACGCTGAACTTCTCAGAGCAAACGGAGGGGCAGAGGTCGTCCGCATCTTCCAAGCGCTTGTCCTCTGTCACGTGCCAAGGTCGCCGCGATTTGGTGCGCAGGGTTCAGAAAGCCAAAACATGCCAAAACCTGAAAAAAAAAAAAAAAAACACCAACAGCAATGGCCCTTGGCTTGTCACAGCTCGCGCGCTCGCGCGCGTTGCTTTTGTCTTGGGGGGGGGAGGGAGCGAATCTCGGCTGGATCAACAAAAGCCCTGGGCCTGCGAGCCACGGGCAGTCTGCGGAGCGGGAGCCTCAAGAGCCAGATCAGACTTAGGAAGAATGGGCCCAGTACGAGCACCGGTGCAGTACTCCATCAACCTGAACTAAAAAGCGGAACACGACTGGAGCATGCCTCACCTAGGAAATCCTAGGAAAGGGCCTGATGCAACCCCCCGGTTTTTGTGGGCATGGCCTCGCGGGACTTCGGTGTGCGCGGGGAGCGCATCTTCATCCTGCAACAGAGGGGGGGCGCTCTTACAGGGCTAAATGCAGGTGCCAGATGTGGAGCGCGAGAATTCTGAGATGAAAAAATATATTTCTGGGCAGAATGATGTCGGCTCGTAGTGGCAGTTCGTGTAGCAGGTGCATCCTGGACTGTTGCGCAACTGGACCGCAGCTCTGCAGGTGCCCCCGTCCCAAGTCTTCCTTACAGGTTTAGGGGTTATAGGATATCACGGCTATAGGGGAATCGGAAAGGGCGACGCCATGTGACGACTGCGTTGCGTCTGAGCCCCCAGGCGGGCGCGGAGATAGCAGAAAATACCTGCGAGGACATGAATGACATGATATGACATGCATCGCCCCTACTCGCCGAAGTTGAGGAGGAGCAAAGGGCTCATCGAGCATGAAACCGACATGCGCCACTGAAAGAGCCGAGCTGGAAGCCACAACGAAAGCCCCAAAAGGAGCCCCGACTTTCTAGCCGTTTTTATGAACCCCCCCCCCCCAGAAGGACCGCTTTTGGTTGAAGGACCTGCTCCGAAGCAAGGCTTTCAGTCAAAAGCCCTCTGGGATGCTGACTGGCAGCGGCCGCCCTCCTGCAAGCGCTGCTTGTTTTGGGGGGTTTCAGTCAGTTTAGGGTTTCGGGTTTCGGGTTTCGGGTTTCGGGTTTAAGGTTTCGGGTTTAGGGCTTAGGGTTTAGGGGATTACCAGGGGAGAGCGAGGCTCCAAGCCCGAGCATCACAAGCAAAGGGGGGGGTGTAGACTCAACCGAATCGCAGAAAGCCTCTCTCGCCTGCATTGCCTCTGGCGTCGAGCCCTCTTGCCTGCAAGAGAACTCTCAGCATTCACCAAGGGCCCACTCCTCTGCCCCGGACTTGCGGCGGGATGGCGAGCTCATGGCCCTGCGAAGCAAAAAAACCACCAAGAAAACAGTCCGAGAAGTTCAGGGGCCAAAAAGCAGGAAAGTCCCCAGAAGCCTTACCAGCTATGGAACCCTAAAGAATGCACTAGCCGCACCTTGGAGTACAAAGCAGCACCAAGAGAACCTCCTGGCTGAGCTTCGTTGTGCTCTCTGCATCTGCTCTGCATTGCTGCATATTGCCCGCTTTGACATGGACTGATGGCACGACGGATGGCATGTGGTGAGCTCAACCGAACTTTAAGCATGCCTAACGCCTGGCCGCAAGCCAATTGAGCCCACACCCACAGTTCATCAGAAAAGTAGACAAAATCGTCGTGCAACTCCTGACTGCGGTCTGCGGCCCTTAACGGCGTGTGAGAGGAGGCGACACCCTGAAGCCGTCACAGGCAATACGGACTTTTCCGTTTGCGGTAAAGAGCGGGTGAATTCACTATAGAAAAGATTGAATCAATTCCAGGTCGGCCCTGGACATGTCAGAGACTCAGACTCATGAAGGCATGTAAATGCATTCCAAGCAAAGAGTCCTTCGGTTGTTGACATTGGCAGGACCTTGAGCGTGATGCGGTGTTCCACGATATCCTTCTTTCATTCTTAAGCCAATGATCTTCAGAAGTACCTAAACCCCAAACCCCAAACCCTAAACCCTGAACCCTAAATCCTAAACCCCAAACCCTAAACCCTAAACCCTAACCCCCCCCACAAGCTCTGCTCTTGGCCCTCTCCGAATTGCCAGCGCCGAAAGGTGGCCACATGAGAGTGTGGCTGAAACCACGTCTGGGTACCGCTTAGCATGCTGCCCAGCATTTTCGCGTCAACAAATCTGCAATGATCTCCCTCCAACCTTTACACCTCTGGGTGAGTCTCAGCCACACTCCTTTCGGCTAGTCACTACAAGCGCAGGCGTCAAGGGAAGCGAACGACATCACGTAACGTAGACATGAGTACCTTGCATTGCTCGCAACGACCAGTGGTAGTCGCACACACATTTACTCTTGATCGTCCCCCGCCCCCTGAAGATGCAAATGGCAATTTTGTACAGGGGCGCCTGCAGGGCACGCAGGCTCTCCATCGGCAGATACGAATCAATCAGCACGCCCAAAGGAGGTCAATCCCACTTCCCTCCAATAATTTCCACTGCATCTGCAAAGCGTGTGCTGGGCAGTGCGTGAGAAGCCGCAGGCATCAGGTCCCCTGAAATGCTTAAGCTGCCTAAGGTGCCGAAGTCGGAAAGTGGGGCAGCTTTGGGCTAAGCTGGCCTCCATGGGCTGCGAGTGTGTACAACATGTACAACTGAGCGGCGAGTGGCGAGCGGCTACTGTTGAGCCCTCGAACCCATCGCAATCGCAGTGGCCAAGCCCAAGCCGAGCTGAAGCAGCCGGAACTTTGCACCCCCTACACCTCGGGAGAATTTTGGCCCTCTTAGGAAATTAGAAAATTGCAGAGAGCTCATCATTACCTCAGGTGCAACGAATGCAGAGACCCTCGGACATGGCTGGTGGCCAAAGCTCGAAAAAACGACCGTTGAGGTCGTGCGACACATGAACGTCGCCTGCCTCTCCACGAGGCGATCCTGTGGGTGGACAGCCCCTGGGACAGTAGCCACCATATGTCCCCATAAACCTAGTGCGAAAACTAATCACAATATTGCCATTTGCTCAGTTGACAATATACCACTGTACTCATACAGTAATATAAGAATATACCAAGAAACCAATATAGCTGTATAACAACGTAGCAAAATATTCACGTGCTAATATACTCACATACTTATTTTCTAATATACTAATTTCCTAATATACTAATTTCCTAATATACGAATTTCCTAATATACTTATATACAAATATACTAGTATACTAATATACTAATGTACGAATATACTAATATACCAATATACTAATATACTAAAATACTGATAGACTGATATTGCTATACTTATTTCTTTTTACAAACATACTAATATACGAATATACTAATATACAAATATAATATAGAAACATATTGATACAATAACATAATCATAGAATAATGTAATCATATACGAATATATTAACATGATAAGAATACTATGAAAAAAAAACATACTCGAAATTAATAAAATCCAATAATCTAATGATCGGATAATCAAATAATGTAATCATATAATCATGTAATTCATATACTCATATAATCATACAATCATACGACCATATGGTCATACAATCATATAAACATATAACCATATAATCATATAATCATATAACCATATGATCCTGTGCCACGATCATCTCATGTCACTGCCGTGGCAGATTCCCTTAAAAGCCGCCAGGTATAAACTTCATAAGTAGCAATCTGCGCCCATGGAGCCTCCCAATACTGTGTGAACGGCTCACGCGTGTCCACACTAGGTCAAACTAAGTCAAGTTTTGCTCATCAGCTAGATGGCCGCTGCTCCGTAGCCTGCACCAGACTAGCAGCCAAGAGCGAAACTTCGTTCATCGTCACTGCCAGGAAGCGGCAGCAGCCACCAGCTTCTCGCATTGCTATAGAAACCATGTTGGAACTTGTCGGGCGGCCATCTACCGCCCGAACAGCGTCGGAAACGACGGGCTTCCGAGAACGGTGCCCACTTACAAGATTCCAGGCATACCCTGGTGCCAGAAGCCGTTTCTAAAGCTGTACGATCTCTGGCGTTTGTTGCCTTGCAACACAGTATTGAGACGACATACTCATATTTGCCGATGTTCACAACATACACCACTGCAGCTAGATTTCGCGTTGTTTCTGATCCGCCTGCCACCCAGCGACTGAAATT